GATTCCTAATTCCTCTACACCACTCATCTGTTTTTGATCAGTTTGAGCCTGTGTCCTTCTCTTTTCTACAGGACACAGTTGATCATATGAGGCCCTCTGGTTCTCCTGCAGATTCCATCCCACCTCGTTTGTTTAAAGAGGTATTTTCCACTATTGAGCCAAGTGTACTTCAGATTATCAATAGCAGTCTTTCCTCTGGTATAGTACCTGAGGCTTTTAAACATGCATTTGTACGCCCTCTACTAAAAAAAACAGGTCTTGACCCCTCTCTCTGCTCCAATTTCAGGCCTATCTCTAATCTCCCACTTATTTCAAAACTATTAGAGAAGGTTGTTTACAACCAGTTGTTACCATTTTTAGAGGACAATGGTATCACTGAGCCGTTTCAGTCTGGGTTTAAAGCCCGCCACAGTACAGAGAGTGCACTTTTGAGGGTTTCAAATGATATATTCTTGTCCACAGACTCCGGAAAGTCTGTTGTTTTAGTGCTCTTAGATTTGTCTGCTGCATTTGACATTGTTGATCACAGCATTTTAATCTCTCATCTTGAGCACTGTGTGGGCATCAGGGGTGTCGCCCTCAATTGGTTTCGGTCATATTTAACCAATAGGAGTTTCTGCGTAAAAATCGACAATTTTATGTCTTCCACTGCTCCTCTTCCACATGGTGCCCCCAAGGCTCAATCCTTGGCCCTCTTTTATTTGCCCTTTACTTACTCCCCCTTGGCTCGATTTTTAGGAAGCATGGCATTTTATTTCACTTTTATGCTGATGATTGCCAGATCTATTTTCCCCTGGCACAAAACAACACAGTTCAACAACTTACACACTGCCTTAATGATGTTAAGACATGGTTCTCTCTTAACTTCCTTAGTCTAAATGAGAACAAGACTGAAGTTATGATGTTTGGACCAAGTTGCCGTCCCTCTCCCAGCATAGATCTTGGCTCACTGTCATTTTATCTCAAGGACTGTGTCACCAATCTGGGGGTGAAGTTTGAGTCTGATTTTAAATTTGAAAAACAGATCAGCAGTGTTGTTCAGAAAAGTTTTTATCAGCTCCGCCAAATAGCAAAAGTGAAACCAATCCTAGCAAGACCTGACTTGGAGAAATTAATCCATGCTTTTATCACAGCTCGTCTTGACTACTGTAATGCGCTGTATGCAGGCATTAGCCGGACGTCTCTTGCTCGTCTGCAGCTTGTGCAGAACTCTGCTGCTCGCCTGTTAACTCAGGCTCGTAGGAGCGAGCATATTACTCCCATCCTGGCGTCCCTTCATTGGCTCCCTGTGCACTACAGAATTAATTTTAAGCTTTTGCTGTTTGTTTTTAAATGTCTGAACAACCTTGCCCCACCATATCTGTCTGAGCTGCTTCAGCCTTACTGTCCACCCCGATCCCTACGATCAGCCGATCAGCTGCTGCTGACAGTCCCTAAAACTATGCTGAAGTTCAGAGGTGACTGAGCGTTTGCTGTTGTTGCTCCCAGGTTGACGAACACTTTACCCTTGAGTGTCAGACAGGCCTCCTCTCTTCCTGTTTTTAAATCTCTTTTAAAGACACACTTTTATTCTTTGGCTTTTAACACGTGATCTTATCTTTTATGGCTTTTTAATACACCTGCTGTGAAACTGGTATGTGAATTGTTTTTTATGTTTCTTTGTGTATGCTTTGTATGTTTTTATTGTTTTGTTTGTTTTTAGTGTTTTATTGTGCAGCACTTTGGCTACCCTTGTGGTTTTTAAAATGTGCTATATAAATAAAGTTGATTGATTGATTGATATTTATCGTAGTATTTAATTCCATTGTAATGGGACATATATCTGTGATATATTATCCATAAATTAATCGGATTCATTCATTTTTCTGGACTGAATAATATCATGTGTTGAATTATTAAATGTGGACGGAAACGTGTTTATCTTTGACTCACCAACAACAGTGGGTCATTTATTTAAAAACGATTTAAACACATCACACATTTACATTAATTTGGCAAAATTGAGTACAATAACAACAGCTTAATTAATTAGCTTTACAGTCAGGAAAACCATACGGCCATGGTTTTCCGTTGCTTCACAACAGACATTTCTGAAAATATCTGGAATGATTTGCTAGCAGAATAGAAGAGTTTAAAGATGGAAAATGAGGTTTATCTTGAGAGAGATGGGTGAGGGAATTTGTCTGTTATAACCAGAACAACACGCTCCTTCTGGACCCAGCTTAACCAACGGTACACTTTGCAGGTGAAGATCGACTCTTTACCTTGGCAGAGGATAATTCCGACTTCGGTGTAGAGTTGCCTTCAAACGCTCTCCAGCGTCTCCGTAAGGATAGTAGGGAACTGTTCGGAGTCGTGAGATCATCCTAGAACAGACTTCTTCATAATTCCTCTGAACTTCTCTTGTTCAGCTTAGTCGCAGATGTCCTGAGCATTCTGCATTCCAGCATTCTGAACTCTGCTGCTCTCGGAACCAACTCACAGCATTCTCTCAGCGTTCTCCCAGCGTTCTTCTTTTGAACTAGGAAGTGTTAAACCTTTTAAAGAGGTCACTTCCGGTTCATTTGAGAACTTCCTGATTGGTCGGTTGACCAAACGGGTGTGTTTTAGTGATGTAAGAGGTTATTAAAAGTCAAGGGAAAAAGATTAGATTGTTTAAGAACAGACAGAAGATATTATGAAGATTCCAGACTTCGTGGAGTCAACTCTCTCATATCTGCCTGAAAAAGTTAAACATGACATTTCTTTTTCAGTAAACTTGCAGTTGACCGAAACTTGACCTTTGACCAACTTCACAATTTGCTCATTGAAGACAGAAAATCGGACAATGCATCATTAACCTGATTTCTACTTTGAATGAGGATAAAAAATCACTAATACTGTTTCACAGTTGATTTAAAATGAGTAGTTCACTTCAACATTTGAAAATGGTTTGAACTAAACACAATTTGATTATCAAAACATTTGTAAAATAGTAATGATAATAGAAAAAAGAGAGTGTTCTTTCAATTGATCAGTGCAGGACACTTAGAAAGTCTCTGGATGAACTTAATCTTGTGTTTCTGGACTCAAATCAATGAAATGACAGTTTCTGTCCCATAAGGTCCTTAAGGTCAGGATTTGACCTCAGGCCTAGTTCACTACACCATCACAGAACTCTCATTTTGAGGAAGCATGAAGGCGACAGTGGAAAGGGAAAAACTCCCTCACGAGGAAGAATTCTGAAAAGGATAAGAAGGCCATGCTATATAGCAGCAGCTACGTGCACTCTGCCCATCTTTTGGACGACTGTATGGACATATTCTCATTGTATCTCGATGCAATTATAATAAAGCTTATTCTGATTCTGAAACCTTTAGCAGAACTAGGCTCAGGACAAGCGGCCAACTGCTTCGACCAGCTGGGTTTGGTAGGAACAGATACACAATGGCAGGTCAAGGATCACGTTAAGATAGAAATAGTTTCAAATGAAAACTATTCAATTTTAACAATTCATTTAAGGAAATGAGGTCAATTTGTTCTCTAGTAGTCTAAGCCTATAGCAGCATAACAAGCTGACCCTAACTATAGGATTTATCAAAAAGGAAAGTCTTCATCCCAGTCTTAAAACTGGACAATGTGTCAGCCTCACGGACAGAAACTGGAAGTTGGTTCCACAAGAGAAAAACCTGATAACTGAAAGATCTTCCTCCCATTCTGCTTTTTGAAACTAGAAACTGCGAGTAAGCCTGCAGTCTGAGAGCAAAGTGCTCTGTTGGGAAAATATGGACCAATAAGATCTTGAATGTAAGATGGAGCTAGGTTGTTGAGACATACCAGTAAGAATCTCAGTCATCAAGAGACACAAGGAACCTGCTCAAGTATAAGGTGTACAAGTACAAAGAGCTGAAAAGATTCCTACTGGCAGGATATGGCAGGAAATGTTCTGATTTCACTCTGGAGAGTCAGAGATAGAGGAACTTTTCATCTATGAAAAGATGAGGATTGTTCATGTGCGATGACACTCCGACAAAAAGGAGTCAAATTTTCTTCTTGCAATTGGAAAATATTTCCACTTATCTTGGTATGGTATAAAGTTTAATCATTTAAAAAAACAAAACAAAACAATTCCATAAACTATATAAAAAAAAACAAGAGATTTAAAATGAAAGGCAGCAGAAAGAAGAAAAAATCTTATTATATCTGCCCCTTTTTTCAAACAATTAGTTCAATCATAATAATCTTCAAGCAACAGAACAAAACGAATAACTTGTTCTAATTTTTCTAACTCTAATGCAAAACACACTAAGCTACTTCATATATATATTTAACAATTCAGCTTTGATCTTTTTCTTAAATGTACACATTGACGTGGCGTTTTTAACATCACTCTCTAGACCATTCTAGTTGCCCTACATCGTTTTGATCAGTAACTTTTCTCCTAAATGCAACAATATGAAGAATATTTTGGGACTTTGTTTAGTACACTTGTAGAACAAAAATTATATCACAATACAGGAGATATGTTTGCATTATACTGCATGTTGTAGCCAAACAAAACAAAGTTATGTTCAGTATTTTTATAGGGTTCAAATTGCCCCAGAAATGGACAAAAGAGCAGTCAAAATTCACTTAATTTACCATTTGGGATGTTATTTTCCTGTGTGTGGTTGCGCACTTTTGGGCTCTAACATTGTTCCATTTTCTCTTGATGTGTTCAGCAAATTAAGGCAGCCATGGAAGTTGTGTAAATTGAATCAATGAAAATTACTGGGAATGCTGAAATGTGATCATGTCTGATGTTGCATAAACAGAACAGCCTAAGTTTGGAAGCACACAGCCAATGTTCTGCAAATGTAGAGGGGAGGAAAATAGGTTTAATAAATGTGCTTTACCAACAACTTCAAGGGAAAGCTAAAAAGCTAATCCATTTGATTGTTTTCTCTGTTCTTTTCTATATATTCTTCCTCTGCTCTCTCTCTCTCCACTTGTTTAATGTATTTTTTTTCCTGTTTCTACAGATCACACCTCTCTTGGAGGATTGGGGGATAGCTTTTATGAGTACCTGCTAAAGGCATGGCTCATGTCTGACAAGACGGACTCAGAAGCTCGGAAGACCTATGATGATGCCATCGAGGTACAACGCACCGATGTGTTGTGTAATCCTTTGGTGTGGTTACCTTTAGATCTATTCCAGTCTACATGCATCAGATCTTATCCACCTACAGAGAACTACAGACAGACCTTTGGGGGCAGCTGTGACTGAATGGTTAGAGCAGTCATCCTCCAATGGGAGAGTTGGGGGTTCGATTCCACCAGCTGTCACATGTTGAGGTGTACCTGGGCAAGACATTGAACCTCTCATTGCCTCTGATGTGTGTCCCATTGATGTATGAATGTGATCTAAAACTCTGATTAATCTCTGCAGATTTAGATTAGCTTTGTAGAGACAGAGTGCTGTATGAATGTGTGTGTATGTAAATGAGGGCACAGGTTATGTTGTAAAGTGCTTTGAGCATCTTCAATAGATAGAAAGGTGCTATGTAAGTACAGTCCATTTACCTTTTGCCTACATTACAATGATAAAACTTTTCTGTGCACAACAAAGTACATGCTCATTAATCCAGGTACACAATCCAACATTTTTCAGTCAGGTCATCTGGACATTTTTTTTAAGCTGTTGGGGGAAGAATCAGTTTTGTGTTGTGTGTTTCCTTGACTGATGAAGCCTTCCAGATTGAAGGCGAAACGTTTCAGCACAAAGAACAAACAAAAAGAAATGTCCAAATGACCTGACTGAAAAATGTTGGTTTTCTGTGCACACTTTTCTCAGCAGCCCATTTCACAAGCCATTGACCTGGATTTTAATAAAACTTGCATAATGTAATTATTAAACATTCTTCTACAATCCAATAACTTTTAGGATCAATCCATCTCAAGATGACTGTCACAGTTAATTAACTGTAGCAATCACAAAAATGGCTTTAACTCAGTTTTACAGATATCAATCTAAAATGTGGTATTCTCGTAGCTGAGACTTATTCTCTGCCCATATACAATGTGCTAATGGACCACAGAAGATCTTTGTTTAAAATATTACTTTCAACTTTTCTTTTTTTTTTTGGGGGGGGGGGGGGGGGGGCTCCTCCCTTCTGGGGTTTATTACCTTCAACTACTGCAGTCAACTAAATGCACTTTTCCCCAATTTAACTTATTTTTTAACACCTTTTTGCTTCCAATTACAGACAATTTTACAACATTAATTAACAGACAAGATGCCTTGAGTATCATCATTCATCATGTAACGTCTACCCACAGTAATTTCAGCTTCATACCATTTCTAAGACTTCGACATTTTTCCCCAAAATGCATGATTGTCTTATTTCCCCTGTTCTTGTTTTCTTTATGATGCACACTCACGTTTTCACTCTAGGCCATCGAGCGCCACCTTATACGAAAATCCAACGGTGGTCTGACTTTTATCGGTGAGTGGAAGAATGGCCATCTGGAAAGGAAGATGGGCCACCTAGCCTGCTTTGCCGGTGGCATGTTTGCTCTGGGTGCTGACGGCTCACCGGATGACAAGGCCGGACACTACCTGCAGCTCGGAGCTGAGATCGCTCACACCTGCCATGAGTCCTACGACAGGACAGGTGAGGAATGCAAAGAGGACTCCTTACACAATTAATGGGACACATGAGGGCTGATATCAGGGTCCAATCTGATGTTGAACGCCAGTGTTCTGTGGCACCTTCTTTTGTGGCTGGGGAAAGGAGTAACCAGCAAAGTTAGACAAATGTTCAGTTTATCCTGATACATGCTCAGTAATTCAAGTAGAAAAATCTTATGAGGTTAAGTCAGGTCCTCTGAATGGATAAAAACAAAAAAACTTGTTGAAACGTTTCGTCCTTTATCCAAAAGACCTCGTCAGTCTGAGGAGCTGCAACAAACTCAGTCTTATAAATAGTACCTTCTCATAGTGGATCAGCTAGTTTGATGTTGACATCCAGAACTAGCTGTTCACATGATAAAAGAGGACCATCAGCCTAACGACCGAACGTTAGTGCTCTGATGGCTGTTTGCTATTCACAGGGGGCTAAGTGATACTAGTAATAACAGCATTGTAAGAGTGGGACAGTTGGATACGGAAGACTCCGCCCCTGTTTTAATGATCAGTGTTTCCCTTACCATTATACAAGCGGGGCGCCCTGCTCCATCAACAGAACCGAGCGCCCCGTCTACCAAACCCCACCCCCAACCACCTGTCGGCACTGATGTAACGCTAAACTAGCCGCTCGCAATGCAGGTGCACTAGCTAAAAAGCTAAAGGCAGCCTCTTCCTTTATGTTGAACCCTCACGCTGAACGCACCCCCGCCACTCGAAAACTGTCGGTACAAACAGCACACGGCTCAGATGTGCATTTGTCTCTCCCCCGCACCAAGACCCCCCCCACCCCCCCCCCCCCCCCCCCCCCCCCCCCCGCCCCACCGCCCAAAAAAAACCCTGTCGGTTCAGACAGCGCGCGGCTGAGATATGTCTCTGTCTCTCTCCTCTCACACACCCTGCTCTAAAACTGTCATACAAACAGCACACGGCTGTCTCTGTGTCCCCCGTAACTGTTGGTTTAAACAGTGTGCTGCGCAGCTTAGGACGAGTCTCCGTTCAAGCCCCCCCACAACGCCCTCGGACAAAAATCACGGACGATATGAGTGCCCCGCCATGGCAAGTTATCTAGGGGAAACACTGATGATGAACAGGTTCTCCATTTGTTCTGCTTAATCATCTAGTGGGCTGGAAACAGGCAATCGATTAAACAAATAGTTATTTATTTTCAGCCAGATGGTTTTGTATTAAATTTATTAGGCCTGAGCAGCAAAGCGCTGCGAAGGCCTATTGTAATCGCTCTGTTCAGGCCCGAGCTTCAATTTTTTCTGCCAAATTAATTGGCGTTTTGGGGGCCTTAACATATCCCAAAAGTCACCAAATTTGGCAAACACATCAGGACTGGTGAAAAATTACGTATTTTAAGGGCATGGCAAAAATCGTCACAGAAAAGGCTCAAGAGCGCCACCTAGAAAATTTCAAAATACCCTCCGCATTAACCTTAGTTTGTCGTAGAAATATGAAATTCGGTACACTTGTCCAATTCTCCAAGATGCACAGAAAACCCTCTGGCACCAACGTTGAACGATAAACAGGAAGGCGACCATTTTGGAATGCCGGCCCAATTTTCACACCTTTTTGGCGGTGTACATCCTCCGCATTTGAACGAACTCCTTCTAGGGATCTAAAAAAGTTAAATCTGGTCCTCTGGACATTCAAAAAAAAACCAAAACAAAGCAAAACAACAAAAAATGTAGAAACGTTTCGTCTCTCGTCCGAGAGACTTCTTCAGTCTGAGGTGCTGTTTTCAGCTCAGTCTCTTAAATAGCACCTTCTCAGAGTGGATCAACCAGTTTTGCTGCTGACAACCAAAACCAACTGATCACATGCTCAAGAAGGACCATCAGCCTAACAATGGATCATTAGCACACTGATGGCTGTTTACTGTTCACAGAGGGCTGAGTGATACTAGCAATCACAGCATTGTAAGAGGGGGACAGTTGAACCCGGAGGCCTCCACCCCTGTTTAACGATGGACGATTTCTTTTCACAAAGATGGCCTCCTTTACTCCTCTCTCAAACCATCGTTCCTCTCTGTCCAGGATGTGAACATCTTCATCCCTGAAAGAGTGACCGCTGGCCTGGAGATGAGTGTAGACCGCAGAGTCCTGGCCTGATGATGTTGATCTTCTGTGCTGGGCCATCCTTTTGGCCAGTGGCTGTTTTGTTTCCCCGATGTAAGACTGATCACAGCCCTCCTGACACTGAACAGAATACACAACATTACTCTGTTTGTGCCGGGGGACTGGATCTTTGGGATGAACCAGTCTTTGCCGTAATGTATTTTGGGGTTTAAAAGCCACTGGGACGTTATGTTTAGAAAATAAACGTCTCAGTTTCTCTGATACTCCCTCAACATATGGAATGACCACTGGTCTGGGTCTGGGTTCCTCCTTTTCACCTGTTGGCTGACTAGAGTCCTGTTTGGGTTTCTTCTCTGCTTTCAGGAAGGCCCAGTTAGGATATCCACATTGCTCTAGAGCCTGTTTTGTGTAGGATTTCTCCTTCTGCCTGGCTCCCGAGCTAGTGGGGATGCTGTCTGCTCTGTGATACAGAGTCCTGATGACTCCTAACTTGTGCTCCAAAGGGTGATGGGAGTCAAACTGCAAATACTGGTCTGTGTGGGTGGGTTTGCGGTACACCTCAGTTTGCAAATGTCCTCTATCAGAGACTGAGACCAAACCACCACCTTCCAACATCAGTAGAGAGGAGAGGGACGCACTCACCACTCTTAGCAAGGACAAAAACATCATCATTCTCCCAGCAGACAAAGGAAGGTGCACAGTGATTTTGAACCAGAAAGACTATCATGAGAAAGTTATGACACTCCTTAGTGACGTAAACACTTATGAACCTCTGAAAAGAGATCCAGGAAGTGGTTACAAGAAGAAATTGATAGATTGCCTGAAAATTTTGGAGCAGGACAAGGCTATTGACCGTTTTCTGTACCACAGACTGTACCCAGGGGAGGCCACACCTAGTCTTTATGGTTTACCTAAAATCCACAAACAAGGTGTACCTTTAAGACCAATCGTTAGCATGATTAACTCTGTCACTTACAATGTTTCCAAATATCTGGCGTCTGTACTCATCCCTTTAGTTGGCAGCTCAGAACACCACATACAGAACACCATGGACTTTGTGGATAAGGTGAGGGATGTCATCATGGAGACTGATGAAACAATGGTCTCTTTTGATGTCACATCACTCTTTACGTGCATTCCTGTTGATGATGCAGTAGAGGTGGTCAGTTTAAGATTAAAATCAGACACCACTCTGAGCAGCAGGACCACGCTTTCCACAGAACAACTGTGTCAACTCTTGAAACTGTGCCTGCAGTCAACCTACTTCACATATGGGGAGCAATATTATAGGCAGAAACATGGGTGTGCTATGGGGTCTCCAGTTTCTCCTATTGTTGCCAACCTGTACATGGAGGAGGTAGAAAAGAGAGCCTTGACGTCCTTTTCAGGGACACCACCAAGTCATTGGTTCAGGTATGTTGACGACACCTGGGTTAAAATTAAATCTCAGGAAGTCCAACATTTTACTGACCACATCAACTCTGTGGATAAATACATCAAGTTCACACGAGAAGATGTAAAAAATGGCAGGTTGGCTTTCTTGGACTGTGAGGTCTCAGTCTCTGATAGAGGACATTTGCAAACTGAGGTGTACCGCAAACCCACCCACACAGACCAGTATTTGCAGTTTGACTCCCATCACCCTTTGGAGCACAAGTTAGGAGTCATCAGGACTCTGTATCACAGAGCAGACAGCATCCCCACTAGCTCGGGAGCCAGGCAGAAGGAGAAATCCTACACAAAACAGGCTCTAGAGCAATGTGGATATCCTAACTGGGCCTTCCTGAAAGCAGAGAAGAAACCCAAACAGGACTCTAGTCAGCCAACAGGTGAAAAGGAGGAACCCAGACCCAGACCAGTGGTCATTCCATATGTTGAGGGAGTATCAGAGAAACTGAGACGTTTATTTTCTAAACATAACGTCCCAGTGGCTTTTAAACCCCAAAATACATTACGGCAAAGACTGGTTCATCCCAAAGATCCAGTCCCCCGGCACAAACAGAGTAATGTTGTGTATTCTGTTCAGTGTCAGGAGGGCTGTGATCAGTCTTACATCGGGGAAACAAAACAGCCACTGGCCAAAAGGATGGCCCAGCACAGAAGATCAACATCATCAGGCCAGGACTCTGCGGTCTACACTCATCTCCAGGCCAGCGGTCACTCTTTCAGGGATGAAGATGTTCACATCCTGGACAGAGAGGAACGATGGTTTGAGAGAGGAGTAAAGGAGGCCATCTTTGTGAAAAGAAATCGTCCATCGTTAAACAGGGGTGGAGGCCTCCGGGTTCAACTGTCCCCCTCTTACAATGCTGTGATTGCTAGTATCACTCAGCCCTCTGTGAACAGTAAACAGCCATCAGTGTGCTAATGATCCATTGTTAGGCTGATGGTCCTTCTTGAGCATGTGATCAGTTGGTTTTGGTTGTCAGCAGCAAAACTGGTTGATCCACTCTGAGAAGGTGCTATTTAAGAGACTGAGCTGAAAACAGCACCTCAGACTGAAGAAGTCTCTCGGACGAGAGACGAAACGTTTCTACATTTTTTGTTGTTTTGCTTTGTTTTGGTTTTTTTTTGAATGTCCAGAGGACCAGATTTAACTTTTTTAGATTTTTCTACCTGGATTATTGAGCATGCATCAGGAGATCCTTCTAGGGATTTTGCTCAATCGGTTTCAAACTTGGCCATTTTGGTCAAAAGGCATGGGGGACGCAAAGTTATCTAAACGGTTTGTTTCGGAGCATGCTAAAGGGGCGGGGCCAGACCTTAAAATTTGACATCTCGCAATGAAAAACGAAACGCTAATAGGTCCTACACGAAAACAGTCTGAGACATCAAACCTTCAGTGATTGATCCACATCCAGGCCCCTGCAAGACTGAATGGTCAAATCATGACATCACTTAAGCC